AAACCTTTGAGAGTTCCCTAAAAACCATAAAAAATTAAGCATCCCAAAGTCTTAAATGTATGAGTCTCAAGCATTGTCGTATTTAGCAACATTGCAGCATTTGTAACAATGACATCAATAAGTTCAATTTTCTTAAGCAAGCTGTTGTAAAGTACCTGAAGTTTAATTTCTTAAATAGAATTGTGTTCATTTTCCATTGAGCAGCTCCAGCTTTCTCAATTAAGATTCTCCTTTATGTGTATATTTCACATAAAAAGGGGAAACACAATACAGTGCAGATAATAAAGAGTTCACTGTGTAGTAGCTTTAGGTTTTCAATTGGCAAAGCATTCCTTGTTACGTGTCAAATTATTTCACAAGTTTTTGAACAAAATCCCCAGGTGATAAGGAAGTCTTTGGGGGGAAATGTGTGATTTCCTGTCAATCTGTGTGAAGTTCAAGTAATTGACATTAATTCCAGTTACACTAATTCCAGTTGCACTGCATCCAGAACACATTTACTTAAAATGTCTCATTAAGTGGATTTCATAAGATTTGCACTTCTGGGAAACAATTATTTTGGAGTCCAGGCACGTGTGTTTAAATGTCCCATTGTGTCATGACTTAAATTTGGCATGCAGTCTTCTGTAAATACAAATTCATACAATTGTAAATAAAGCTGAATGTTTTCTCTATCTAGCTATGGAATATTTAAAGCTGTGAGCAAAAAGAACAATGGTTAATTCTGCAGATTAAAAATTTCTTGAACTGACACAACAGCAAAGAAATGCAACCATTTTAGAGAAGCGGTTGCATGAATGTATAAAGACTATATATATGCACCCTACTGACATCAAGATCCAGCCAACATTCGCTGGATTATGGAGAAAGCAAGAGAGTACCAGAAAAACATCTACTTCTGCTTCATTGACTACGCTAAAGCATTTGATTGTGTGGATCACAATAAACTATGGCAGGTTCTTAAAGAGATGAGAGTACCAGACCACCTCACATGTCTCCTGAGAAACCTGTATAAGGGTCAAGAAGCAATAGTTAGAACCGGATATGGAACAACTGATTGGTTTAGCATAGGAAAAGGAGTATGACAAGGATGTATATTGTCACCTTGCTTATTTAATTTATATGCAGAGTACATCATGCGAAATGCTGGCCTGGATGAATCACAAGCTGGAGTTAAGATTGCTGGGGGAAAGATCAATAACCCCAGATATGCAGAAAGTGAAGAGGACCTAAAGAGCCTCTTGCTCAGAGTAAAAGAGGAAAGCGCAAAAGTGGGCTTGAAGCTCAACATCAAAAAAACTAAGATTATGGCATCTGGCCCCATCACTCCTTGGCAAATAGAAGGGGAAGTCGTGGAAGTAGTGACAGACTTCACGTTCCTGGGATCCCAGATCACCGCAGACTGTGTCAGCAGCCATGAAATTAAAAGACGCCTACTCCTTGGGAGGAAAGCAATGGCGAACCTAAACAGCATGATAAAAAGTAGAGACATCACCCTGCCAACAAAAGTCCGCATGGTCAAAGCAATGGTATTCACAGTAGTCATATATGGCTGCGAGAGTTGGACTATAAGGAAGGCCGAGCGCCGAAGAATAGATTCTTTTGAACTATGGTGCTGAAGAAGACGCTTGAGAGTCCCTTGGACTGCAAGGAGATCAAATCAGTCAATCCTAAAAGAAATCAACCCTGACTGTTCCCTGGAAGGCCAGATAATGAAACTGAAGCTCAAATACTTTGGCCACCAAATGAGAAGGGAGCACTCACTGGAGAAGACCCTGATGCTGGGAAAGATTGAAGGCCAAAGAAGACGGGGACGGCAAAGGATGAGATGGTTAGACAGTGTCATAGATGCAACGAACATGAAACTGAGCAAACTTCAGAGGACAGCGGAAGACAGGAGGGCCTGGCGGGAGATGATCCATGGGGTCGCACTTCTCCAGTTCGACAAGTGTCCACCAGATCCTCAGGAGCAGGAACTGGGAGCAGAAGACTTAAACTGAGCCCTCCGTCTAGTCCCTTAGAGTGTTAACATGGAAGAAATATATACTTTAATTAGAAATGTCAATTATTCAGATATATCTGTTTCTATTTCAAGTGATTTATTATTTTTATAGAAAATAGATAAATAATAGTATATTATAGATAAAATGAAATACAACAGATAGGATATAGATAAATTAGTTGTTTATCGAGAACAGATTTTTGGCTTAAAGGTATATGTAATGAAATATAACCAAAATAAGGGGGAAAATGGTAATTTGCTTGTAAACATGATGATGTGAGCAAGATTTTTGGCTAGATATTTTAAAATGCACTGCTCTTTTTTTTCTGTAACATTTAAAGAACCAATAAACTTTGCACACACGTGGGCAATTTAAAAAAAAAGAATTGTCACACGTTAGTATCTCCACTGAAGCTTATTTTTTATTAGTCTAAATGAAATTTTTAAAGACATTCCTCATCATAAACGTGTTAAATACCTTATGATCTGTAGGTTGGTTGTTAATTATAAGGTAACTTAACTATATCACTGCACATGACTGTGATCTAAAGCACACATGCAACCTAAACTTGCGCACTGCTCAGAAGTCCTATCGAGTTCAATGGCTCAAGGAGATTCACAGTGCATCCTAGGCAGAGTTGCACCCTTCTAAGTCCGTTGAAATCAATGGCTTAGAGGGGTCTATGTCTGCTTAGGATGGCACTTACTCCGAAGTATACAATATGAAATTGCATATGCCATGATCACTGAGGCTTACAAACAAGTCTTTAACAAATCTGCTCCAACACAAAACAATCTGAGATGAGGAAAAGCTTATATTTAAAAGGAATTCTTACCACAATCATTCGGCCATCTGATGTAATTACTGCCACAGTACCTGATACTCATTAAAGAAAAGTCTTTTTAAAAGATTCAGTAGAAAAAATAAGATGGTCTTTTTGGCCCAGGGTTGTTATCATATTGGTTAATTCCTGATCCAGTGAAGTACCTGTTCATTTTAAGCAGGGCTGGATTCATTTGATAAGCTACACAGAACAAAATATGAACACACCAAGGAATTAACTTATTTATCACTTTGATTTTTACCCCACCCTCCCCACCGAGGCAGGCTCAGGGCAGCTTACATAAGAACCAATAAAACAGTATAAAACTCAGTATAAATATATAATAATTCAGCATCTTTTCAAACTTTCAGGGGGGGGGGAACCTGTTTTTTAGCTTTTATGGTTCTGAAGGAAGCATTAATCTACATTGATGTTTTCCAAAACCAGAGGGAGTTCAAAGGTAAGACAGCGGGCATGACAAGTCCTCCCCATAAGTGATAAAATAATGAATTTTGCAGTGCACACATACTGACCTTTAGTTTTTGCCATCATTATATGTGTTTCCCACTTTTCACCCCAATGAGGACCAAAGTGGCTTACATAATTCTCTATTCTATCCTCACAACCCTGTGAGGTAGGTTAGGCTGAGAATGTGTGACTGGGCCCAAGGTCACCCAGCAAGCTTCCATGGCACAAGTGGAGATTTGAACCTGGATTTCCCAGATTCTAGTCTGACACTTTAACCACTACACCACAGTGGCAGTGCGCGGACTCTAATCTGGGAGAACCGGGTTTTATTCCCCACTCCTCCACTTACAGCTGCTGGATGACCTAAGGCAAGCCATAGTTCTGTCAGACCTGTTCTCGAAAGAGCAGTTCTTGGGAGAGCTCTCTCAGCCCCACCTACCTCACAGTGTGTCTGTTGTGGGGAGGGGACGGGAAAGGAGTTTGTAAACCGCTCAGACTCCAAGTGAAGGGCAGGGTATAAATCCAATCTCTTCTTCGTCTTCTCACACAACTCAAAATGCATGCCACAGTTTACTGTTACACCCACACTAGGGTTTCTCTTGCCTACAAACCAAAATTAAATGGGTGGGGGCAACTGAACAGACCAAGGTTCGTGATTCAAACAAAACAACAAGCTGGCTTGCCTTGGACACAGAACAGATTAATTTGCAAAACATGTATGGGATAATGAGAGAAAAGCACAGCTGCACTTCTTCTATTTCATGGCCTTTAAACTAAAGCGGCCACCTCTAAGGCTATATATCTGCCAACTGTAGCTATGCTTCATGCATCTGAGGAAGCAGGAAAGCTTAGGTGTGCTGCTGCAATAGCGTTTAGAGTGGCACAAAGCTCTTAATGTTTCTGGGGGAACTTCTCCTTTCTACCCTCCCACGAACATGGTCCTTTAATGGAGAGCACTGAAACCTACCAGATTACTGTCATCAAGGACCACGAGAATAAAATAGTTCCTTTCCATTGGGGAAAGAAAGGGGCATAGAAAAGTTTCCCTGATGGGCAAAAGAACCGTAAGCGCAGGAGCCCATCCCCCTCCCGAATGGGGTCCTTGCAAAAAAACAAAAACCAATTAGCTGTGCCCACGTGCAAAATCCGGGGGGGCCCCGCAGAACCCGCCCACCTACTTTCAGAGGAAGGGGAGGCACTTCGCACTTGCGCAGAAAGACACCGGCCTTCAAATTATTTTTAAAAAACCCGTGAAAGATCACAGCTTTTCTCTCTGTAGCATGATCTTCCATGGCACCCGAACAGGACTAAGAAAATTAACGGCACAGATGAAACAGCTGGTACTTAAACAGACTGTCCCTAAAGCCTTACCACCTCCCCATTCTGTCTTGCCTTCTAAAACCCCAGCCCTGTCAGCGGAAGGATACGATTGATATAGTTTTCCAACGCGGATGTCATGGCGACGATTCCTGCAAGCCTTGGTGTACAGCCCCAGGAAAAAAACTTCCACCAGACCCCAGAAGTTCCAGCACAAAACCTACGCTACTCTTTAAAAAAAAAAAAAACTATATCCGGCCTAAATTGTTACTGCGCATGCGTTTGCGTCGCCATGCGTGCCCAAGTTCCCTGCGCGACAAAAGTAGGAGCGGCTTTCTTGTTTTGCGTACGTCTTCGGTTTTGGACGTCATCGGTGGTAGGTTGAAGTAATGGCATGGTAGGGCAGAAGAACCAGTCAGAACGCAGCTGCTCAGTACGCATGTGTACGATATGTAACTGCTCCGTCCTCCGGTCAGGGCTTGCAAGGCGAGTTGCGGGGTAGGGGTGGGTTGATATTCCGGGCTTCACTTTGACTTATGAAAATGACGATCCACTTTTTCTATCCCACGTACCCCTTGCAGAATGAAGCGGAACCTGAGAGATGCTCTGGAGTTTTGTTGTAACAAGGGAAAAATTCTCCTTACGTTGATACAAACCATAGAGACACGCTTTAAATCTAGGACTTACTGTGGTGTGCTTTTGTGAACAAAATATGCAGTGTTCGCAGTTGGCCTATGGACACAAATACACGTTGTTGGAGGGACAAAAATGCACTGGGGGGACAAAGGCCATACAGTGGTACAAGTCTATATTATGCTTCATATTAATTTTTGTACTAATATATGCAAGTGGTTAAGATGCTGAGCTGCAGACCGGAAGGTCAGTTGTTCAGCAGTTCGAGACCCTAGTGCTGCCTGCCAACCTAGCAGTTTGAAAGCAAGAGATTGCAAGTAGATAAATAGATACTGCTTCAGTGGAAAGGTAACAACTTCCATGTGCCTCAGCGTCTAGTCATGCCGGCCATATGACCATGGAAACGTCTTCGGACAGCGCTGGCTCTTCGACTTGGAAACGGAGATGAGCACCGCATCCCTAGAGTCGGATTCGACTGGCTTTCAAGCAAGGAAAACCTTTACCTATGCAAGGTATGTGCAGAGAGTGCACATGTTCCAGCACAGCTTTACTATTTTGTAAAGCTGTGCTGGAACTATGCTGATATAACCTTGGTTATAATTTTGAATCCCAAAACAAGATGGTGACACAATAGGTTGATAAATTTGGGGTGTAGTAAAAGAAATGACAGGCTTGCCTATTGGAAACACTGGACAAAATGGGAGCAAGGAAAGCCAATTGGCTTGTCTGGGCTCCATCTCCCTTATATTTGTTGTACACACTGCTTATGGAACCAGTACTCTGCCACTGGCTAACAGTCCGTTTACCTTAATAGGTGCTTTTAACGCTTTCATGGTGCATATGTTAAGTGCCTTTGATGATTCTAATCACAAAGACTGAAATCAATCATAAACATCTATTCAGATATTCACTTTGGTTCATTGCTTAAAGGCATTCTGGGTAAAATACCAAATGCTGACAGGCAGTAACTGACTGACCTTGCTTGTTCTGGCCAGTTGTAACTACGCATGTTTCTGATGTCAGTTTGCTTGCATTAGATGGAGAACACTGCATGATGTACTAATATTTGTTACAATTAGATACTTTTTAGAATCTCACAGAATGAAAAGAAGGCCTATTGTTTAGCTGAAGGAGATATATTTTTGCCTGAGAAAATCCAGCCTACAGGTTGGAGCCCAATCAGAATGGAGTGACGGATGTATGACAAAGTTTGATGGAACCAATAATTGTGATTTATTTCTAAGTGTCATAGGGGGTATAAAACCCTATGTCTCCCATTGTAACCCTAGGGAGAACTGTGGGGTCCAAAACCTTATTGGATCTGCATCTCCCTCCTTTGTTGATCAATAAAGTACTAGATCTGATTCTCCTCTACAAGACTGCCGTGTGCTTTCTCAAATTGGGCTGGGGGACCACAACCTTTGACGGAGTTATATCCACTGGCTGCTTTGCCTGAGTCCTGCCTCCAACATTCTAATCATTTTGCTGTTCCTCTCCCCCCCCCCATAGCCAGTCAGAGCACAGAGGTTATTTGCATATGCAGCCTCATTGGCCTTTGCCTCGGAACACAGAGGTTTGCATATGCGACTTGATTGGGTTTTGCCTCTAACATTCTAAATAGTTTACTGTTCTGAGGTAAAATGTGTCCAATCTCCAGGTGAGGGCAGGAGATAACTCAGAATTACAACTGCTTTCCAGATGGCAGAGATCAGTTCCCCTGGAAAAAATGGTCGGCTCTGTATCCTTATATGCTACTGAGGTGGCCCCCATATGACAGCCAATGTGACGTAGCAGTCAGGGCTTCAGAGCACGGGAGAGGCTGCAGGTGTGTGGGGGGTGGAAAGCTGAAGAGCGAGGGGGAAATAAAGGTAGGTTGATGATTGGGTGGGAAGGAGATCGGGTTGCCAACTCCAGGTGGGAAATTCCTGGAGATGTGAGGGATGGAGCCTGGAGAGGGTGAAGTTTCAGGAGGCGTGGGACCTCAGACAGGTACAAAGCCACAGACTCCACCCTCCAAACCAACCATTCCCTTCTGGGGAACCATTGTTGCCAATCTCCAGGTGAGGGCTGGAGATCACTCAAAACTACAGCTGTTCTTTAGGTAGCAGAGATCAGTTCCTCTGGAGAAAATGGTGGACTCAGTGTCATTATACCCTGCTGAGGTCGCCACAGCAAATTGACACTGAGTGTCCAAGGCCGGGGCAGCTGCCCAGAGCCTCTTTCTAGAGGTCGTTGTATTTATTTCCACAACGGGCCTTTTTCCGAGTACGTATATATAGTAGTTTCCCACACACTGTGTTTAGCATTATAACATTATGTTGGAAACATGGTATGGGAAGCATTCTGAAACGCTTTTGTATTGACACCCAGAAGGCAGGCTTATGGACACTGCAGTGGGCCCCATCTCTAGCATAGTCAAGATGGGATGCTGAAATAGAAATTGAAGTGAAGCTGCATGAAAGGGTCAGGAGAGGTCGTGCAAGCCCACAGCTTGTTTCTAGTCCTCCAGATGATTGCTTGTCTGAACTGACCAGCATCTAGAAACTTAACCAAGTCAAGATCTTAAAACAGTTTCAGTGCGAGAACTGTGTTGATGTTTTCTCATCTTCAGCAGTGCAAAACGCAAGCCAGTACTTGAATGAATAATGTTTTGGTCCCATTTACTTAGGTTTGTTTGTAGACTACTGTGAAGTTCTTCCTTTGAGTTAACATTTATATTTGGCAAGAGGTGTGATCTGAGTTGTTAGAGCACAAATTTATTTCAGTATTTGCTAACCCTGGTAAACTTTGGAGTTATTTATTTGTGTTATTTATAGTCTGCCTTTCCCACTGAGATTCAAGGCGGATTACATAGTGTAAGTCAAATACAATCAACCGGCTGGGACATCCAATGCAAAGTGCAATAAGGTTTGCCTGGGTTCAGTTTCGATTTATTTGCTTTCAGCCATTTGAATACAGCAGTCAGATAGCATCTCAAGACAGCATCTCTTCTGCATGTTCCAGTTTTGAACTAATCTTCTCCATTATGCAGCAGTTACTTTTTAAATACGTGGGTTGGCCTTTCTAATTCACCAGCAAGTATAGAAGTCCTTTTCCCTTTCAGTTTCTACCATGAGTTGGAATGAGGCATCAGTGAATGGCAAGAAGGAGGCCAGTCCCAGAAGGCATTGCTGGGGGTTTTCTGCTCTGCTCCATGGTTGTTGGCCTTTGGGACTCCTCAGGGTTCAATCTTATCCCCCATGCTATTTAATATGTATGTAAAACCATTGGGAGAGGTCATCAGGAGGTATGGGCTGTGGTGTCACCAACATGCATATGATAGCCAGCTCTACCTTTCCTTTATAATTAATTCTGAGGAAGTTACTGATGTTTTAAACCAGTGTTTGGAAGCTGGTTGAGGGTAGATAAACTGAAGCTTAATTCCAGATGAGACAGAGATTATCTGGATTAGTAGAAAGGAGACCAGGGACTTGAGATCTCTCCTGTCTTATATGGTGCTGCACTCCCTTTGAAAAGCCAGGCTAGAAAACTAAATGGCTGCTGTGGACTTCCGGTTTATGGCGACATGCTGGCAGATGCATCTCCCGGACCTCCTGGGGATGTGATCTGTGCACGAGCGGATGGGGGGGCGACGGGGCGCCCCCCGCCCCCCAGAGCCTTGGCAAAAAGCTCCTAGCCATGGGGCTTTTGAGGGGTGACTTCTTCACCAGCGCGATGCTGGGGAATTGAGGTGCTCCTCTGCCCTGACGGTCCAGCTGCTGAATGTCCGTATGGATGTAGAGCCGCTGACCGGGACAAGCTTCGGAGATCAAGCGTTTTGAATGTGTGCCGAGCGAGGTCGTATGACCAACAATGAACAGTGAGTCAGGTTAAAGTGAATATGAGAATTTAAAAAGAAAGCTACCCCCTGGGAACGGCGAGAAAAGCGACCGGGGGAGGGGCCCCTCCCATGCGCATGAACTAAACAATGAAATACTAAGGGGGGAGCGGAAGAAAAAGCGTTGAAATCTGTTTTGAGAGACTTACCAGAGCGCGGATAAGCGTATGGACGTATTTCAGAGACTTTAGCAAGATTTCATAAAAGTAAACAATCCATAAAGATGGCGGGGAAGAGGGCAGAGAAAGACCAACTAGCAAAAGTGAAACCAGCGGGGAACATGAGCCCTCGACCAGAAGATGTCACTGAGTTCTCCAAAATGTTGGCAGATTCATACCCTCTGGTGGACCAGGTGACTAACATCAAACAACAGCTGACAACTCTAAACCAGAATCTTGCAACTCAGCAGCTCCAACTGACTGAGACTTTAAAAATAACAGAGCAAACGGCTGAGAAGGTGAAGGAAATGGACGCCAACACTAAAAAAAAGTCAAGAAAAAGGTGCAAAAGCTGGAAAAGAAACAAGCTTTGGAAGAATCACATCTTTTACAGCTGCAAATGGAGAAAGCAGATTTGGTCCTATGGTTTCAAGGGGTCCCAGAATTAAAAGGTGAGAATCTAAAGCAACTCCTGAGTGAAGCATTAGCCCCAGTTACAGATTTGAAAGCGGAGTATCTTGCAAGCGAAATGGATGTGGTCTACAGGTCCTATTCCGTGTACATCAAGAAGAAGAATCTGTCTGGGGAAATAGTGGTCAGATTCTCAAAGCGGCATGTGAGGGATTCCATCCTGAAAG